CCCTACATATGAAACAAACTCCTCTAAGAGCAATTTGAGAGGCTAGGAAAAAGCTCACTTTTCAGAGCAGGGATAAAAAAGAAAGGCTCATGGAAGAGAGAGGGTTTCCTGAGAAAGGAGTAGCACAAGTCACACTAACATATGAGTAGTGTTCCAGAAGGAACATTCCAATGGGAGTAGGATACAGTGTTTTGGTACAGAATTAAGTCTAAAGGCTAGAGATTAGGCTAGGGTCAGAGTTTAGAGGATTTTGAATGTCATGCTAAGGAGTCTGAATTTATCTTACGGATCACTTAGTGACTGATGAGCAAAGGACAAAGAGAAACAAATGGAACTTTAAAAAAATTCATCTGGTAGCAATAAACAGGATGAACTGAAATGGGATAGTTGCAAGGCAGGGAGACCAGTTAGAAGGTGACTGATACAGATCCAGGAAAAGAGGAAGGGCACTGAACTCAGGTGAAAGTAACAGAAATGGAATTCTTTATATGTCAAGAGGGAGTTCTGCTGTTTTTAAATTTCTGTATATTTCAAGGATATTTCATACAAAGTAAATGCCCAAATCAAGCCAAGGGGCCCAATCATCTGAGAATCTATTAAACATCTATAACAAAAGTTATCTCATTTTAGCCCCGAAAGATTATCTGAGGCATAATCATGTACTCAAATCCAAGGGTAAGGTTCATCTTCCAAAAGATACAATCTAGCTACTATCAGCTCTAGAAAATTCATATTATTTCTATACTAACATTTTAACAATGCTCTTGAGAAATGACAAACAATCATGTTTTGAGAACAAATATTTTTTGCATTTTTTTCTTTCCCTCATCTTTATCAGAGCAGATATTTGCATGAAAACAGGACCACTGGTCCTCAGGGATTCATCAGTTCCTACTGCTTATTTTTCATCCATGTCATCCTCTCAATTAATGCAGGAAAGAGGATTGAGACATCGAAACACCAGATTAGGGTGTCAAGTAAAAGCCAACCCCTAGAGTAGATGAATAATCTGTAAGGACAAAAAAAAAAAAAGGTCGTGTTTTTATGCAAATATACTATACACAATAAAACAAAGGGAGACTGTATCCAAGAATACACATCAATGCAATTATTTCCATTTCTAACTTTAAAAACTGTTCTCTTATGTTAGCTAAATTCACTATAATCAAGGAAAATGGTAATCAGTTGCAAAGTACTGTTACAGAAGTCAAAATAAGGCTGTATTTTGAACTAGAAGATAATTTTGAAGACTCTTAGCTGTGCTCATGAGACTTATCTGGCAGAAACAAGCATATTTGTACAGTTTGGGTTCAGTACTAAAGGTGGCTGAGTCAGGTAACTTTAAACCCCCACTTCTAATGCCTTAAATTTTTAGAAATATAAAATATATTTTATTAATTAAAACAAAGCAAAACAAAAACACACCAAATTTATTTATTCTGTGGGAAGTCATTAAAATAGACTTTATTTAGAATAAGATGTACTCCATGTTTGTATAAATATGTCAAAATATACTGTATAACTAAAAAGAATAAATAGACTTTATTGATGCTTAAGAAACTGATTCATTATCCTGAAAACTAACAAATAAAAAGAATCATTTATCCTGTTGTTCCAGTAGGAACAGACTGCAAGGCAATCAAATAGTCATTTATAGGAAAATTTCAGACAGTAAGAAGGAATGACAGAATTATGATATAACACTATTATCATCTTTTTTTCCAAACATTTTTTTAATTGTAGGTAGACACAATACCTTTTACTTTATTTTTATGTGGTGCTGAGGATTAAACCCAGTTCCTCATGCATGCCAGGCAATTGCTCTACCTCTGAGCCACCTACCATTTTTAATTGTGGACCCAGACAGTAATCAAAGTGTACTCATCTGGGTGTTAAGTTTGATGGAGAAATTTAAAGCTATTTTCAGCTTGTTTTATCAATTATTAATCTTACTAGCACACAAAATAAGACAAACAGACTCAATACACCTCTGATAAATAGACAGAATACCACCTATGAAACATTCTTGTCAAAATAAAAATTAAAAATCCAGACTATATGTGTGCAAACTTCTGTATCTAATTACCAGGAAATAAATAGGGATGGATGAACATGGTAAGCTCAACCTCAGGGATGTAATCAACAAAATCCAGAATATGGAAAATTCTATAGAACAAATGTCTAGGTTTAATAAATGACAAGGGAAAATAAAAGAAGGTAAAACAATGACAGACTAGAAGAGATTTAAAGACATACCTTTCAAATATCAAAGATCTTGACTCAAACCAACTAAATAATCATTTATGACTCAATCAGGAAAAAATGAATCCTGACTGGTTACTTTATGGCATTACCAAACAAGTTGGGCCTGATGGTGCAAACCTGTAGTCCTAGCTACACAGAAAGTTTAGGTGAAGGATTAATTGAGCCTATAAGTTCAGGAACAGCCTAGGCAACATACCAAGACCCCTTCTCGAAAACAATAAAAAAAATTTTAGGCATAATAGAAGTGTGGTTACATTATTTAAAAAGTCCTTGTCTTTTGAAAACACCTGTGAAATTATTTGGTAGAAAACATTAACTGATGCCAGGGACTTGCTTTAAAATAATTACTGGAGGTTATTATAAGCAAAACAAGATGAGCCATATATTGATTACTGAAGCTGGGTAATGGGTGTGTAAGATATTATTCTGTTCTCTCTACTTTGATATGTTTAAAATTTTCCATTATTTTCTCATTAGAAAAGCAGCAAAAGAAAAAGTAAACTGGGAAACATAACAATTTCAGCTACACTAACTAGATAATACAGCTGACAAATAAGTTTGGTAATATAGCACCTTCTTGATATAATAAGCATAAAGTTTGTTTTTGTTAAAAGACATAGATAAAGCATTGATGATTAAGATGATTACAGCATTTATTATCCTAAGCTAGAAACAAACTCAAGGAATTCTATTAAATCTTGCATTCATGAATTTAAAAAATCACAGATTTGCCTTTTCATTATGAACCCTGAGGTTCATACATGACATAGCTAGTAATTAGTAATTTTGCAAAGACATAAACTTTAATCATAAGAACTAAATCACAGGATAGACCGGGGGTAAGTTATCATTGAGTGAATCAAGCAAACCACATATTGGTCTCTATTCCTTGATTCATGAGTGATTAAAAAATATCTTCTTGGTAAAAGAAATCCAACTGTAGGTTGAGGATATAGCTCAGGGATACAGGGCTTGCCTAGTATATATGATGCCCAGGGTTTGATCCCCAGCACACACACACATACACAAAATGACAAGACAGCTGCTGAATATAGTAATGGAAATAAAGAAAAGATAAAGAAAGAGCTGGGCACAGTGGCACATTCCTACAATCCCAATGACCCAGGAGCCTGAGACAGGAGGATCACAAGTTCAAGGCCAACTTCGGTGACTTAGTGAGACCCTGTCTCCAAAAAAAAAAAAAGGCTAGGGATATAGCTCAGCTGGTAGAGTGCTTGTCTCGAATGCATAAGGCCCTGGGTTCAATTCCCAGCACCACAATAAATAAATAAATAAATAAAAATAAAAAGGGCTGGGGATGTAGCTAGTAGTGAAACACCCCTAGGTTAAATCCCCAGCACTAAACTTAAAAACAGAAAAAGAAAAAAAAAAAAAAAAAGGATAAACAGAACTAAGAAAATGATGACTGTTTGTCAAAAATTAGAAATTTTAAATGTTGAAGCAAAATGCTGAAGTTAACAAATCTACTATATGCTCTACATGCTCTAAAGAAATAAGAAAAATAGCCTGGAAAACTATTTTGGGGATTGCTCCAATTAATATAAAACTTGAATTTTTTAATTATTATTTTTATTTGTTCTACTTAGCTGTACATGACCACAGAATGAAAACTTGCAGTTTTGAAGAAAATTAAATATCATAATAGTATCCTCAAGATCAAAATCATGAATTTATGAAGGTATTAGGAGGAAACCCTTGAAAACAAGGTCTAACCACTGTACTCACATTGACTATCATTTTTTTCAATTACAAAGCAAGAATTTTCATTCATTCCTTTTCCAGTTTCACAATAAGTATAGTATGAGAAGAGATATAATATATAAAGAAATAATCTTAAACTAAATGAATGGAGACTAGACAGCCACAAATGAGAAATTTTAAAGCATTACTCATGGCAGCTAATACATTCTTGGTCGGTATGCATTTAAAAGCATATAAAAAATTTTCTAATTTTATATGCTTTTCTTTGGGAAACCAACCCTCTACTCCCATTCCCTGTGATTTAGGTCAAATGAACACCTCTTAGCTGTGTCTGCACACAGGCTAACATAGGCCTGGTCCATCAGAGTGCTCCAGGCTATCTGGCCAAAGGACTGGTTCAAGGTTGGAGACATGAGGCAACAAAAAACAGCGCAAGTCTTCCCCAGGAATTTTCAAACACTTCTTTCTTCTTTTGGGATCATGAAATTCAAAAACATATGAACTGGACCTCCTTTTGGCCACCTTCCTCAGTGCTGAGAAAAAGCTATCTGCAGCAGCAAAGAATAAAAGACTAACTTATCCATGAAGGTTGAGTTTTGATATGCAACATAAAGCAAGAATTAGAGTGCATCCCAATGCTATCATTAAAGGTTATGGATTTAGATGACCCCAAAGCTATTCTCTACCCCCTGGACTTTTAATTTACATGAACTAATAAAGTCTTCAGTCTTCACGTAAGCTAATTCAAGTTGATGTTCTATAACTAAAAACTGAAGGATTTCAACAGGCTTTTACTGCAAAGAGAAAAATAATTTTTACCTAGTAAATCCCAGTTAATTATTTCAGCATACTCTATCATAAAAGGCATACTGTAGAGTAAATACATTGACTTCTTACCTTCAGTCACTTATCTTTTCCCTAATAAAGGGACTATTACATTTTCCTGAAGTGTAACTTGAAATTCAGGAAATACACAACATGTAACCCCAAATAAATGTGATCTGTGTACTTACACTCATCCAGCCCCAGTTGATAGGCCAGGTTCTGTAGACCTCGTACCTTCTCCATCAAATTAGCTGTGGTGAGACTTCCCAGTTCTAAAACAGAATCATTTATTTCAATACCATTTCTTTCCACTGTTTTCTAGTAATAATTCATTTGGGTTGTGAATCCTGGCTATAAAAGTTTTACAGTACAACGTGGGCACAGCATGCACAAAGCCAGAGTTTAATCTCCCACACCACCAAAAAAGAAAAAGAAAGAAGAGTTTTCAAGTTAATTCCTATTGAATAAATAGAAAATGGGTTCATATTTCTTCTCCAATCTTTTACACACATACACACACACACACACACACACACACACACAAAACCAGTGAAATTTTCCACTATTGCAAAATGCCTTGAAATGATCTTTCCCATTTAATAAGAAAAGAGCAACAGTAACAAATTAAGTATTTTATCCTAAGGATCCTTTTATAGCATTCATTTTGTCTAGTGCAAAATGCATACATCATTAAAATATAGAACCTTATGATAGGACTGGGGTTGTGGCTGAGTGGTAGAACACTTGCCTAGCACATGTGAGGCGCTGGGTTCAATCCACAGCATCACATAAGAATAAATAAATAAAAATATTATGTCCATCTACAACTAAAAATATTTTTTTAAAAAGCAAGCTAAATTACTAAAAAAAAAAAAACTTATGATATGCCATAGCATTGAAAAAGCCCTGCAAAGTGGACAGTCTCCATTTACAAGTCTCCAGATTTCAACTAACAATAAAATAGCAACAAAATATTATTTCCCATTTTCCAAACTTTTCCAAAGTTTAGAAAACATAGACTAGATATAAATCCAAACTTACCCTTCAAATCAAATTCCTATAAAAAAATTTTAAGTTTTCCAAGTAAAAAGACGTAATACTAGAAATAAAAACCTACTTTCCCAGATTTTCATTTAAGTAGGACACAAATCCTTTTAGTTTTAAAACACAGGTCAATTTTGCATGGAACATACTGAGATCTCTCACTTAAAATTTGAAGTTTCCTTAGGAAATGCATGTAAATGGGATATTAAATAAATGTCTGTTTGGAACATCAGAACAATGAACCTGAGATGCCCTTGAGACTTAATTTTTTCCATGGCTAGAGGAGGGGAATCTGTATTTAAGCATGCAGAACAATGAATTACTTCTGAAATCAAATAAAGATATTTTTCTCTCCCATTTATCATGCTGCAGTCATTATCTATATCTGGCATAAGGAGACTTTCTTGATCTGTTCAGGCTGCTTAAATAGCTTAAGACTTCCAGATTTTTTACCGTAATTTCAGTCTATTACTTCACAACCATCATGAATCTTAACACCAGAAGGACAATAAAATAAATAGTGGAAAATTAATGTTTTTAATTTAAATTTCTGTTCTGTGACTGAGTTCCAAATAATTCATCAAACGTAATATTCACTACTTCTAGAATTCTTTATGGAAGAAACTAAAAGGATAGGAAGAGAAAAAAACCAGCTCTTAACAAACCCTTAAGAAAGGTTGTCATTTAAACATAGCAATGACAGCAATATATGCTATGAAATCCTAAATAAGGCACTGTGTTTTAGTGGAAAAAGCTTAGACTTAAAAGAACTCTTTCTAATAAATCTTGGTTAGTTAACCATGGACATCATTATATCGAACAGAACTTTGATGACAATTAAGTAAGAAAATTTATATGAGAGGTTTTTTTGTCAATTGGCATTATACAAAATAAACTTAATATTAAAATAACTAGCAACAGAAAAAATGTGACAATCTTGAATTGTCACAATTGTGACAAGGTTTTTTACAAATGGAAAAAGTAGAGAAAGGCATTTCAGATGTGAAGAACTATGAGTAAGGATGGTTAAGTAGGCAGTCTGAAGCCAATAATACTTGAAAGAGAAAAGTAAAAGAAAAATTGGAGGTGGTTTGTGTCACATGTCTGTAGTCCTGACTACTCAGGAAGATGAGGTAGGGGGATCACTTGAGCTCAAAAGCTGAAGACCAGCCTAGGCAACAGAATAAGATCCCATTTCAAAAAATAAAGTTAGAAAACACCAGCACCACTTACCTTTCAACATGTCAATGTCATCCCGTTCTATTTCAGCCATCCATTTGGGTGGAGAGCTAGTAATAGGCTGTCAGAAAATAATATATCCATTCAGATACATACAAAGTGTGAAGAGACCCTACTCTTCCTTCCTATAAGAAACGTAGCTTAAGGGGCTGGGGTTGTGGCTCAGTGGTAGATCACTTGCCTAACATGTGTGAGGCCCTGGGTTTGATTCTCAGGACCACATAAAAATAAATAATAAATGTCCGTTGACAACTAAAAAATATATATATATATCTTGTTACCCAGCCTTCAGGTAGTTTGAAAATACTTGCAAATTATAATTTCAAAAATCCAGATTTTTCTAAGTTCAGATATGACTTACAAATAATCACCTTACAAAATAATACTGCTCATCTTTTCATTTATTTATTTTCTTAGTTGCAGATAGACACAATGCCTTTATTTATTTATTTTTTTATATGGTGCTGAGAATTGAACCCAGTGCCTCACACATGCTAGGCAAATGCTCTACCACTGGGCTATATCCGCAGCCCAATACTGCTCATCTTTAAAGCTGAAATCAGAGAGATGTTGTTAAAAGAACTTGGTGAGACTACTATTACTATTTCAAGTTAGTATAGCATTGAAATTTCATTCTGATGGCAGAAAGAAGACTCAAGAATGTGAAAACCCTAAACTAACTGACAGAATAGAGAGAATGGTCATTACTTAAAATTTACCTCAGATGTACTGATTTAGAATATCTGGGACTGGGGAAGGGTTAAGTGGAAAGAACAGAACAAGGGAATCCACAAATAGACTTTCTAAAAAATATATTTTTAGTTGTAGATGGCATAATAACTTTATTTTATTTATTTTTGTATGTGGTGCTGAGGATCAAACCCAGTGCCTCACACATGCTAGGTAAGCACTCTACCACTGAGCCACAATCCCAGCCCCACAAATGGAATTTTTTAAAGTTCCATAGCTACAACCAATTCTGTCACATACAACAAACAATACTTCAGCCCTTGAATCTTCTCCCTTTTTAAAAATTAAAATTGAGTTGGTATTAACCATGTAAAAAGCAAACACTTTGTATCATGTCATTTACACCCAAAACAACTCTATGAAGTAGGTATTATTATTTCCATTTTACAAATGAAAAAAAAAAATCAATGTAGATTTTAAATTACTTAGCCACACAGCTAGAGGAGTCAAGATTTACAAAATTTACAAAATCAGAGTCCAGAAACCATGATGAGTCCTCTAGGTTGCCTCCCCTAAGACACTCTACATCAAATTCACCATTTTTATCCCAAGTAGGGATGCTAACTAGGGTTCTAGGTGGAGGTAGAAAGAAAACTCAACGTATGTATATGCACATTTCTAGGAAAAAAGGTATAGATATTTAACCAGATTTTTTAAAAACACCACACTCCAAAATCATTATGTAAAACAAATAAATCATTCTTCACCAAACCTCACTCTTCAAATGAGTATACACACACACACACACACACACACACATTTATATTTACAACTTAAAATATTTACTTATAACCAAATATAATTAACTAAACTGAAAACCAAGTATAACTGAGATAAGAAGAAAATCAAATCATATACTACCTGCTCTATCTATTAGACAAAAGTTGATCCAATAGTAATGCCACCTTGCATTGTTGATTACATCCTAGACACTAGGCAGTGTTTTACATGCATTATGAAATTCTATACAATAATTTAAGGTGAAAAACTAAAGTTCAAAAATGTTAGAAACTTGCTCAGATCACAAAAAGTTTAATAGCAGACTCTAACACAGGTGTGCCTGACTCAAAAGCTCCATACAACTGCACTCTCCGGCCTAGGCCTTACAAGATGCTGAGGAAGCAGAGGCAAATACTCATACCTGACTCTTAAACAAATGAAAGAGGCTATAAAGTCTAGATTCCCTTGGAATAAAACTCACAGAATCTAAAAGTCTCAGGTTAAGAGGAGGATATTTAACTCAGCACCTTGCACTCTAAATAATGAGAAGAGAATGCTAAAAATATAGTAAGAGACAGTGGGAGTTATGTCACAACCCCCAACAATATGGTTTGAAAGAAAGGGCTTGGGCTTTGGAATTAGACAGATCTGAATTCAAATCCTGGTCTACCACTGCCTAGGAGTTGAGCAAGTAACTTAGCGGTCAAGTTTCACTGCTAGTCGGTTCTTGAAACAGTGGGCTCAAATTCTATTTAGTGTTAAGAATATAGAGGCCATAATGAGTTCAAAAATCTGATTCTTCCATTTAGAGTCTATAATCTTGGGTAACTTATGTACCCACAACCATTCTTGCAGATATCCTTGTCTGGGATGATTAATTATAGTACTATCTCATCTGGTTTTGTAAAGATTAAATAACATATGTAAAGTACTTAGAACAGTGCCTGGCACATGGTAAGCACTATGATGCTATCATTAATATCATATTTTCTTGGTTGTGGGAATATATGAGAGAATATATTTAGAGCTTCAAGTACAAGGTCTGCTGCTGTGGAAGTGGAAAAGTCTGTGGCTCTTATGAATGCCTTCTCTCAGGTTTCTAATGAAACATGGAGAAATTAGAAAATTCTCTAAGGAGAAATAAGTTTACACCATAATGCATTGGATAATTAAAAGAGAAAGCTTCAAAATTATAGTTTGAACAAAAAGAATACTACCAATACATTAAATATTTCAACTGCCTTACCTTAAAACTCTCAAACTGAGAAAAGAGGTTAAGAAACAAAGGAAAAAAATGTCAAAATAGAGCATCTGAACAGAGAAATGCATTATCAACCATTAACATGATGACAATATAAACAGATTTATAGGATTGCAGTTAGAAAATAATTTGAAGGCTATCACATGGTTCATGAAAATAAAGAAATGAGAGATTAGAGCTTTCACCCAGGAGAAAACTTTAGATAAACTTCATTAGGAAAGTAAGATATTACTTACACTTTTGAAGGAAGCTGCAAATTCAGCAACACCTGGTACTGAAAAGAAAAAAAAAATTATTCATTCAACAATCTTTGAGTGCTCAGGCATAAAGGATTCAAATAATTAAGAAAACAGCCTTGCCATCAAGGACATTACACTCTGAAAAAGAACAGTGTAAAACAATAACTCTAAAATTATTTAAGTGCACTAAAAAAGATGCCAGGTGCCATGGGAAGGCAAAAAAAAAAAAAAAAGGGAAGGAAGAAAATCTATACCAGACTAAGGAGGCAGGAAAAACTTCTGGGAAAAAATAATGCCTCAACTAATAATAATAATGCTTTAAAGGACCAGGAACTAGTTGTGAGGATGGTGAGATACAGTATCTCTTACCAAAAAGTTTAAACTTCCTTTTTAGTTATGCTGTTTTTTTTTAATTCAATTACTCATTTAAGTTTATCACAGGAAGAATTAGATTAAAATACAGAAAAACAAGGGATCTTTTGGAAGATTTACACTTGCTAGCAGTGCTTGCATCACATTCTGATAAAGGCGTGGTTATGTGGCCTTTGGGTTAGGATGAACGATGCTCCCAGTAGAAGCAGGGGGACTGAGCCAGAGCTGTGGCCAGAACATGGAAGCAGTTAGACTGACCATTGTTGCAGCAGGTCATTATGTTTTACAAGCCATGAGGCATAAGGAGCTTCAAGTAAAACAAATTCTTAAAAAAGATTACCAAAAATTGCCATCAGTGGTAACTATTACAGAGGTAGATTTGAACCCCAAATGAGAAGAGGAGGCAGCATTAATACTTGGTTTAAGCCCTACTACTTCTATAGGAAAAACAAGATGCTCTTAAATTACCCACAGAAGGATTTCCTTAGATAGGAGCCTAAATCAATGAAGTTAAAGGTTGATTAGAAGGTCAAGCTAAAAAATGAAGCAAATGTATGATGAATTATTAGTTTAAAAAAAATTAAAAACAGATAGTTAAAAGGGAAATGATGTTCAAACTTACTAATAAAAAAACACAAACTTAAAATAATAGAGGTTGGTAACAGCAAAAATTGGCTGGTTCGTGAGAAAATGGGCACTCTCTTCCACAGTCATCCTCTTCCATGTACACAAACACATGTGCAAAGATACTCATTAATAAAGGTTGCTGTTGTTGTTTGCAGTACTGGGGGTTGAACTCAGGTGTGCTCTACCATTGAACTACATCCCCAGCCCTTTTTTATATTTTTTATTTTCAAACATGTTCTAGCTGAGTTGCCAACGTTGGCCTTGAACCTGTGATCCTCCAGTGTCAGTTTCCTTAGTTACTCAAATTACAGGTATGCACCAATATGCCCAGCTCTCATCAATAAAATTTGCAAAATAAAACACTGAATGTAGCTTATGTCCCCAAATAGGATATGAATTCACAAACTATAATGTATTTATGTAATAAAATATATTTAAAGGAATGAAATTGACCTACACATATAATAAGGTAAGATCTACTAATTAGTTACTAGGTTTAATAAATTAAGCTGAAAATCATATTCACAGGGATCCATCATCATAAAAAACAAAATAATCCATCTATTTTCTTTTTTCTTTAATTTTTTTTGACGTTTATTTTATTTATTTGTATATGGTGCTGGGGATCAAACCTAGTGCCTCATGCTAGGCAAGCACTCTACCACTGAGCCACAACCCTGGCCTCCATCTATATTCTTAAAAAATATATTTATTTAGGATTGGATATATAGCTCAGTAGTAAAGCATCTGTCTAGCATGTGTGAAGACCTAGGTTCAATCCCTAGACCACACACACACACACACAAAGTGGAAAAAAGTGTGTATATGTGTGTATAATACACACACATAAAGTATATATTACACTACATATATTTTATATATATATATACATTGTATATATATATATTTGTACATATACATATATATTTACTTATGTGTATAATAAAGACCAAACCAATTTGTAATAAATTAATTATAGTTAACTTTAAAAAAGAGATTAAAGAAGGTAAGGAAATGTTTTGTATATCTCAGTATTATCTATATTTATTACAGATATAGTTTTTAAAAACAATTATTATTTCAAGGATCCTTACTTTCTGTCATACAATCTTCTAGAAAAAATACACAAAACAGATATTATCATTGGACATCAATCTCTTCACTCTGAAGTGAAATAAAAACTTTAATCATTACAGTTACTTGATAAACTCTTCAAAAATTTCCCATGGGAATACTGGTTCTTATGCATATATAATGATAAGAAGAAAGTAAAAACTTACATTGTTCTGGCCAAAGATCTGGTGAGGCACGGTCAAGTTTTTCAAAACTAAGCAAAGATGCTTCCAAATCTGTTCCTAGGACGAAACACCCAGATTAGACATAAAGACAGGAAACACATTAATTTCTACTTTATTACATTTCAATCTCAACGTAAACTGAAATACTCAACTGGAAGTCTAGAGATTTGAGTTCTATAACTACTAATGATCATTATGTAAAACAAATAAATCATTCTTCATCAAATCTCACTTTTCAAATGAGTAAAACAGGAGTGATTTGTTTTTTTCTTTTGAGTACCTGGGATTGAACTCAGGGGCACTCCGCCACTGAGCCACATCTCAGCCCTATTTTGTATTTTATTTAGAGACAGGATTTCACTAAGTTGCTTAACATCTCACTTTTACTGAGGTTGGCTTTGAACTTGAGATCCTCTTGCCTCAGCCACCTGAGCTGCTGGGATTACAGGTTTATGCTACTGTGCCTGGCTAGGAGTGATATGTTAGATGAGTGTTAAGAAAAATGAGTATTAGCTGGGTTCGGTGGCACACACTTGTAATACCAGTGATTTGTGAGGCTAAGGCAAGAGGATCTCAAGTTCAAGGCCAGCCTCAGCAATTTAGCAGGACCCTGTCTAGATTTTTTTTTTTTTAATAAAGGACTAGATATGTTACAATCAATTGAGTACCCTTTACTCCCATGAAAGATAAACTCCTCTGCTAGAACTCTGTATTCCATCTTCTCTTGCTTTGTCAAGAACAACACCTTCAATATCTTCCTCTTCATTTTCTATTTTCTCTAGACTCGTACTCAACAGCAAGCAAGTCTGCTCTAGAATTTCCCTTCTGTTATTTTTTTGTTTGCAGTACTGGGGATTGAACACAGGGGCAGCACTAACCTATATCCCTAGCCTTTTTATATTTTGTTTTGAGACGGGGTCTTTTTTCCTAAAGTTGTGACTGACCTCAAATTTATGATCCTCTTGCCTCAGCCTCCCAAACTGCTGTATTATAGGCATGTGCCACCATACCTGGTGTAGAATTTCTTTCTTTCTTTCTTTTGGTATTGGGGATTGAACTCAGGGGGCACTTAACCATCAAGCCAATCACTCTTTTTATTTTGAGACAGGGTCTCACTAAGTTACTGAGACTGGTTTCACACTTGCAGTCCTTCTGCCTTTTTTCTGAGTAGCTGGGATTATAAGCATGCACAACCATGCCTGACTCTACACAATTTCCTTACTTTAAAAAAACAAAAACCAAAAACAGAAAC